GCGCAAAGCCTGCGTGAATTTGCGCTGAAGACTATAAGACATTGGCGTACTGGCTTCATGGTATCCTCGTCGTCTCATTTATTTTCGACAGACCGGCATTCCAATAGCAGTTCGCTAGTTTACACGAACTTGATCAAGTGGTATAAATATGGCGAAACGCTGAGCAGAAGTCCACACCAGGATGTAGGCTTGAACACCCGTTGGTACCTGAACGTGTGTGGCCACCCACCGGATTCCGATTTGGAAACTGGGACGACGATTACTATTGTAACAGGTTAGTGCGGCACGGTGTAGGCACGACGATTGCTGGTGAGATCTTCCAGCAGGACCGGTGGATGAACGACTCCGACGAAGAGTCGAATGAACCCAACAAACGTGCGGTGGACACGCAGGATCTTACACAACGGAACAGTGATGAATCGCAGGCGGAGAAAACACCCGACCAAAAGGAGGAGTGAGAAGCACTCACTTTGAATAGGACGGACAGAACACAAGTGGGTGAGGCAGACGCACGAGGTGTGTTGTCTTTGCTTGTGGCACTCGATAGAGGAGTGAGCGCGTAAGTAAATGACGAACGAAGAACTGAAAACGAAGAACGAAGGCGGACGGAGTCGACAGAGAAGCGACCCCCCGGCAGAACTACGCGTTTACGAAGAAAACTGATGGAGGGCCGAAGTGGCGACATTGTAGGTCGTTGCTAAGGTTAAGTACGCGGATCTGGACATTACGGATGCATCCGACGAACTGTAGTGGACGCGCTACGGAACAGAGGAACACGAAGAACGATGAACGAAGTACAAAGACGAACACTTCTTTAGTTAGAATACATGTAGCGCAAAGCCTGCGTGAATTTGCGCTGAAGACTATAAGACATTGGCGTACTGGCTTCATGGTATCCTCGTCGTCTCATTTATTTTCGACAGACCGAGCGTCTAGGCTAGCTACGAGAAGAGACAAATAATAAAAAGTAGGGACGGCGACGTTCCGGCATAGGGATCAGCTTGAGACCTGTTGGCCAGCAGTGTGTTGAAGTACACTAACTCGACGAACCCGGGACACTCGCAGGAGGCACACACGCGAGTACGATCTGCTCCACGAACCGAGCAAGATAAGTGGATTCGTTACACTATAATACATCCTCCCAGGTGCGTTGATTAGCAGAGAGAATTTAAACAATACACAGGTACACACAAATATGCAGATAATTGCAGCAACTCGACTACTACAGACTCGGACAGGGGGATTGCACATGATGCTTACTCGATGCTAAGCATGGCCATCTCGATAGCCCCCACAGCCACACTTGCACTGTCAATCACACAAGTCCATACCAAAAACTGGAGGCGACTACTTAGCTCATGTGAAATTCACATGTGACTGCTGGGCAAACTCGCTCGAACACGCATAGCCAGTTTCGGATTTTTGTTTTGGTACAGATAATTCTGGACTGGTAGAAAATAGTGTATTTAACGAAATATGGTTTTGACCCTATATTGAGCTGTTTCCATAGTCGATAAAAGCAACTATTCGGAAAGACACTGCAATGGC